CACACCGGAACAAGTGTCTTTAAGGCACATATAAGTAGTATCCAGAAAATATTGGTGACAAGGTTAAAGATGAACAAGATGATGGAAGAGAGAAAAGAGAGAAACTGAATCGGTAACTAACTTTCTCTAATTGAATGAAAATAGTTACAAAATGAATTCATCTTACAAATTGAACTAACCTTCAGTATTTATACAATCAGAGTCTCAAAATATCAAATGTAAATTAATCCTAAATGAAACTTAAATGAATCTGAATTATATCTAACACCATCCCATAATTTATATTTAGCTAATCAAAATGAACAACACCAATTCCATCCCTCAAATGGATAAAGTGTTCAGTCTTGATTGCGCTAGTCAGAACATCTACAAGTTGCTTATGAGTGTTACAATGAACAATTTCAAGCATTCCATTCTGAACCTAATTGTGTAGAAAATGGAACTTCGTGCCAATGCGCTTGCTCCTTCCATGCAACACTGAATTCTTGGCAAGAATTATAGCTTATTTGTTGTCAATTATTAACCTCACAAGCTTGTTCACCTTGATCTTCAGATCATGCAACAAGTTTAGAATCCAAACAGCTTGGCAAGCAGACAAAGCACCTGCGATGTGACCATTTTGGTTTATTCATAAACCTACTCACCATTCCAACTGCATAACAGATGTCAGGTCTTGTATCATAGAGATATCTTAATGAGCCCACCAACTATTTAAAAGTTGTAGCATCTACATCATCACCCTCAATATCAGAATCCAGCTTGTGATTTGTTTCAACAGGTGGGATTGCAGACTTGTAATTTATTAGCTCAAATCTCTTCAGAAATTCAAGTTCATACTTTAGCTAATGCAAAATTATAACCTTATTAGAGTACAAGTCTCCATCCCTATAAAAATATGTCATATTTCCTAGGCCAGTCATTTCAAAGTCATTCATCAACACCTTCTTGAACTTAGTTATCTCATATAAACAACTCTTTATTAGTAGTATGTGATTAACATAGAGACACACCAAAATCATATTAATATCATATGTATGCTAAACATAAACAGCATACTCCATATCACATCTCTGAATCCTTGAAGCTTGAAAAATGAATCACTTTTCAGATTCCAAGCTCTAGGAGCTTGCTTCATTTTGTACAAGGATTTATGTAACTTGTACACCATACCTTCCTGATTCTTTTTCACAAATCCAAGGGGTTATGACAAATAAACTTCTTATTGTAGAGGATCATTCAGAAATGAAGATTACACATCTAAATGTATCAAAGTCCAATTTATGTTAGTAGCCATAACAATCACCAATATGATTATTTCATGCCTAACTACAGGGGCAAACACTTCAAAGTAGTATAAACCAAATTTCTGTAGAAATCCTCTGGCTAATGACTTTGCTTTGTGTTTTCTAATTGATCCATCTAGCTTTAGTTTCAACTTGTAAACTCATCTTACATTGATGTCTTTCTTGTTCTTTAGAAGCTCAATCAACTACATATCTTGTTTCTTTCTATAGCCTCAAGTTCTTCTTTCATGGTCTTCACACACACTTTCTTCTTGAGAGCTTATTCATTACTAACTAGTTCAAAGTCTACCAACATGGAACACTGAATGACTTCCCCTTCAGAGTCTATCTTAGTATCTTGCAACGTGTCAAACTCTGCAAGTCTTCTTGGTATTTGTCTGATTCTTTGTGGTCTCATAACTTGTTCAGAATCTTCTTCAGATGTTGGAACAATATTATATGTTGGACTACCTATTGACGCTGGACCAACTTTAGAGGCATGACCACTAGAGTTTGGATCGTCATCAGAATCTGGATCAAAGTCAGATTCACCTTCAAAGTCAGACTCACCTTCAGACTCATCTTCAGTATCAGAGTCACCTTCAGACTCTTACTCATCTTTAGAGGAAGAATCTCCTTCAGAGTCTAAAATATTTTTAGAAGTTAATTTAGGTGTCAACACTGCAACAAAGATCGATTGAGACAATCCCATGCTTCTGCTTCCTTCACAATGACATCTCTGTTGAATTCCACCTTGTTAGTAACTAGATAATAAAGCTTATAAGTACCTGTACTATGGTACCTAATCAGTAACATCACTTTGCTTCTATCATTCAACTTCTTTCTAGTAGCACCTGTAGCATATTTGTAACAAACAGAACCAAATACTCTAAAATGACTCACACTTTGCCTATCTCCAGTCCACTTCTCAATAGGAAATACTTCCTACAACTTCTTTTTGGAAGATCTATTGAGCACATATGTTGCAGTGGCAACAACTTCTCCCAACAAGATGTGAGAGAGCTTCTTCTCCTTCAACATGCTCCTTGTCATATTAAGAAAAGTTTTGTTTCTTCTTTCAACAAGACTATTTTTTATGGAGCGTATGGAGTAGTAACCTCATGCTCAATTCCATTCTCCTCACATACCTTTTGACCACTTTGTTTTTCAGCCTTTACCTTGAACTTCTAAAACTCTGTAGACACCTCATGCTTAAACTTGATGAATGCTACCCATGAATCCTTGTGAACTCATCCACAAAATGAAACAAGTTCTTATTTCCTCCAAGTGAAGGTACTTCAAATGGTCTACATACATCAGAATGCACTACTTCTAAATAATGTTTTTGCTCTTGGAGCCACTTCTGACGCAAATGGCAATCGAGGTTGCTTGCCTTTCGTGCATATCTCACATGAATTCTCAAGCTCCACAATCTTAAGGATGCCAAGTACCAACATCTTAGAACTCATATGTCCTAAGCTTCTGAGGTTCGGATGCCCCAACCTCTTTTGCCACAACTTACAATCACCTTTAACACCTTCTGCACTAAGGCATTTAGTTTAAGATGTTTACACATTCACTTTGAATCTTCTGTTGCTTCCCTGTTCAGATTTCATAATCATCTTCTGATCATAATCATACAACTATAAGATATTGTCCTTCATAATAACTGAGAAACATTCTCAATTAGTTGGCCTACACTTATCAGATTGCTCTTTATGTCGGGTACATACCAAACATCCTTGATCAGAACAGTTTTTCCATTCCTTACTCTGACCTTGACATTTTCCATTTCTTCAACATTCAAATATTTATCATCAGCACGTTTGATCTTTGTCCCCTTTCGAGATTCAAAATTAATCAGCGATTGTTTGTTTCCAGTTCAGTGATTTGAGCAACTAGTGTCCATGTACCCCCAGTCTACCAAATATCCACCATCAGATTCAGAAGCCATCAATAACACAGGTTCATCATTATAATCTCCTCTAACTATGTTTGCTTTTTCTAATTCCCTTTCCTTGTTTTACGAATAGTCAATAACAAAGTGACCAAAGCTCTTACAACAGTAGCATTGAACCCTTTTCTTGTCAAACTTCCCTTTTCCCTTCTAATGTTTCTTTTCATCGGAGTTGGAGGCTTCTGAATTTTGATAACTACCACCATGTCTTTTCTTGGCCTCTGACCAAGATATCTTTTGATTCTTCTTACCAGAAGATGCCTTCAGAGTCCGCTTTACCTCTCTTTCAGAGGTTCTCTCAGTCAAACACAACTCTTGAGCCTCTAGACTACTTTGAAGATCTTCAATTCTCATGGTACTAAGGTCCTTAGAGTGTTCAATTGCTACAATAATATAATCAAACTGAGGAGTAAGTGATCTCAATATCTTTTCAGTGATTACTTGTTCAGAGAGAGTTTCTCCACAAGATTTCATCTCATTTGTGATCAGAATTACTATGTATAGATGTAATTAGGTACCTTCTTATTTTTCTTCATGTTGAGATTCTCATACTTCTTACGTAGAGACTAAAGTTTTATCTTCTTCACTAATATATTACCACTGTAGCATCGTACAAATTTATATCCACACACTGATGTATATATAACAATATCTTTCGATCCTTCTTCCTCGTTTCTTTATGCGTGTTTCTCTGTGCTTCAGTTGCATTTGCTGCAACCGCTACGTAATCGTCATTCACGAGATCAAGAACATCTTAAGCAGCAAATAACACAAGCATCTAAATCATTCGTCGATTTCATTTCTTTCCATCACAGACTGTAAGCTTTGTATTCAAGCTATCGTTTCCTCCATTCATCTTCAATATCATGCAAATTCACTCAAATCTCACTAACACTCATGTTTCCCAATCCCTCAGAATTAAGAAATACGATTTTGTTTAGATTCCGAACTTCAATTCACTGTGAATTTTAGAATCGAAATCAATCACACACGCCTCATGTACACTCGTATTTCCAGATCAGAATCAGAATCAAAGCTCTAGATACCAATCGTTCATGCACAAGATTGAAGATGAAGAAGATGATGAAAGAGAGAAGAGAGAGAAACTGAATCTATGACTAACTTTCTCTAACAGAATAAAAACAATTACAAAATAAATTCCTCTTAAAAAGTGAACTATCCTTCACTATTTATACAACTATATAATCTCACAAAATAAAATACAAATAAATTATAAATACAACTTAAATAAATCTGAATTATATCCAACATAAAATACAATATACAATATGGTGTTATTATTATTATTATGGGTTAGCAGAAATCCATAACAAGATTGAACAACACTTTAAAAGGTCACAAGGATAATAATGGAAAGAGGCGGCATTGAGACAATATCTAGTCCACCAAGCATACTTCTTTTGACTCTTTATACTCAAATTATCATTGCATTAGGCTTCAAGAGAACCAACCAAGAACCTCACTGGAGCTACAAGTCCACAAAGCAACGATACCACTTTTCTGACAAAACGTTTAAAACTGATTATTCTTGCATTTTAAATTATGGCATCCGTATCTTAAGGTGGCCCATTTATACATATTATCAAAATCTTGTTATCATCATCTTGTTCAATTTCAACTGTGCGTGCGTGAGTGCATTGGACAAGTAAAAAGGAATTAGAATTCCCACAAACCAAACCCTACTGTTCATTCATCTATATATACCCTTAAAGTTACACCAAATTTATGTAGTGGTGACCATGGCCAAGACTCCTTGTTGTGAAAGGATGGGAATGAGGAAAGGACCATGGAGTGCTGAAGAAGATCATATATTGATTTCTCATATTCAAACACATGGCCATGCAAACTGGCGTGCCCTTCCTAAACAAGCTGGTTAGCACAAATATTTATTATTAGATAGATTAATTTTTCTAATGTATGATCAATTATATGGTATGATTATTATCTAGGTTTGTTAAGGTGCGGTAAGAGTTGCAGACTTCGTTGGATAAACTACTTGCGACCAGATATCAAACGAGGGAAGTTTAGTGAGGAAGAACAAGATTCTATCTTAAAGCTACATCAAATTCTTGGAAATAAGTGAGTAATATTGTAATGATATGCATATAGTAAATAAAAGTGATTGATTAGTGACTCTTTGATATGATCAGATGGTCTACTATTGCAGCAAGGTTACCGGGAAGAACAGATAATGAAGTAAAGAATTTTTGGCATACACATTTGAAGAAAAGGGTCCAAAATGCTGATATTTCTAGTTACTCATATACTTTGAAATTGCAAGAGGCACAAGCAAGTGATGGTTCTAGTGGTTTAGGTTCAAGTAAGGATTCATCTATTGTCTCTTGTGATACTAATTTAGAAGAAAATATGGAAAATCATGGTTCATGTCAGATAAGTGAAGAAATGGAATTTTGGTATAATGTGTTTATCAAATCAGGACAGAAATCATGACTAAATGGAAATCTAGGATATTGTTCATGTGTACTTCTTTTAATTTTCAGATGTTCATTTTCTAGGTAGAGTTAGTTTAGTGGTGCAAATTGCAAGAGGAAAGATAGAGTTAGTTTTGTCAATGGATTTTTGTTCTTTTAAGTGTCTTAGGTTAAAAATCTCAAAACCTAACTGAATTAACTGTCAATTTAGTGATTAAATAAATTCCAACCAATTTGTTTGCCTGTAAAAAAATTGTGTTAATTATGAAAAAGTTTATTTCTGGTTGTCAGAGAGCTTATGTACCAGGGCGCCAAATCTTGGATGGAGTTCTCACCTTAATGAAATAGTTGATTTTGCAAAGAAAAAAAAAGTGAGAATCTCTGTTGTTTAAAGTTGATTATGAAAAAGTTCATTGTGTGAGTTGAATTATTTGATATATGTGATGAGAATGAAGGTAAGAAAAACACAAGAACGAAAGGTTGAATTGTGTTGATTTTTTCTTTTAAAGTTTTTCAGCTTATGTTTCTGATGTTTTTCAACTAGAGTTTGAACATTTGGTTCAGAGTCTGACTCAGAAAATTTGGTTTACTTCTGAATGATCTTATTAGAGTCTGAACCAGAATCTAATTTGGATTATCAGAGTTGATCGCAGTGGAATAAGTAAGAAAGTAAAAGCACAAAACACAAGTAGTTTATCATGGTTTCTCTCACAATCTGAGAGTAGTACAGTCCCCTTGCACTTCTAAGGGATTTTCACTATAATCAAATCTGATTACAAATGCTCAAGCGCACAAACGAAAGAATTAGGTAACAGAGTTGTATTAGCGCTTAGGTGTATCTTCTTCAGGTCTACAAATATTTTTATAGAGAGGGAGAAAAAAGATTGAAATTCTGGCACGCAGATACCAGATGTCGAGACAAATGTCCCAACATTGGGATCAAGACAATTTGAACACTCATAAATATGAAGAAAAATAAATGACAGAAAGATAAATAACACCACTAGTTGTTAACCCAGTTCGGTGCAACATCACCTACATCTGGGGGCTACCAAGCCAGTAAGTAAATTCACTATGACAGTATTAGTTTAAAGTTAAACTCCCCCGTTTATAACTTATCACATAATCACTACCTTGTGCAAATTCTCCCTAGACACCTTCTAGATATGAGATTCCCATCTCACTTCCTATCAGTCACAAACTAGTGACAATTCAACAACAACCCAAAAAAGAAGTACCAACACTTCCAAATACAATACTTAGTTTTGCTTAAAAGGTTTAATTAAGAACAATACACTCTTACTTAAAAGCTTATGAGTGAACAATTAAAAATTAACAATCAGTCAACTCAATGCATCAAAACTGATACAAGAGTGACATACAAAGAAAACACACTAAACCCTAAAGAACCACCAAGACACGACAAATCATAATTCTTCAAATTCATGTCTTCTTTAGGTTTAAAAAACCTCTTTAAGTAAACATCACAGTTGCATGGGTTTGACCTCTCAAAATAAAACGAAAATCACAAGGAATCAACTTTAAATCAATTGCATAATATCCTGCACAATAATAGGAACAATAACATAAATTTTCCTAAAAAGGCTCAACGATCCTTTTTAAGAAAAACAATCAAATTTGTCACAACAGAAGTTCCCAAAATATCCTCCCTTGGATAACAATTACGTGTGAATTAAAACACACTCAAAATTCACACTTAAAATACCAAAACAATCATACCATAACTTTCTGGTATAACATGTCCTGACACATTTCACAACATCATGCTGAACATGATGTATGACTCTCATAGCAAAACATCTGACTTAACATCTTGATGACAGCGTGTTTTACCAAAATATTATCAATCCAAAAACCAAAGAACTTGCAATCTCCCCCTTTTGCAAGTTAGGCTAAACAGTCTTAAAACAAACCAGGAGTATACACAACGAAATCAAAAATAACAAAAGCTATATGAAACCATGTAAGCTTTATACAAACTGCAACTTTGCAGCAATTGATCAGACATGTTCATAACTCCCCCTGCCACACATAGACAATACTCCCCCTCAAGGAGAAAATCCAAATGACAATAAAAGAAACAAATATGAACTATCCAAGTTCACACATCACAAAAAAAAATATCAAGACATCTTGTCTGACATCACAAAACTAGTAGCAGCACATACCCAGTAGCAGAACTCCCTCTCAAGACCACAACCCACTATAGAGAAAATAAATTCTCCCAGACAAGACATACCATTACTCATTATCACAAAGGAAATTCTGAACTATCTCAGAGACACATGCAACTAGAAGATCCTTCATTAAACCACAAGCATGATAGACACTCATGCTCCCTGTAACACCCTTTTCTACCCCACAGTTTTAAAGGCAAAATATTCACATTTATCAGAGTAAAATATTAAACTCAATAAAAATCACTTCAAAGGGCGTACATTTCCCAATAAATCAAATATAGGTCAATGCTTCGTAAACAACGGGTTTTGTCAAAAGATATCAAAAATTTCATCAAAAGGCAGCAGAACTCAAAAAGGCATAATCTAAAGTTTTCCTTATACGGGAACATAATCAAAATAACCAAATCAAATAAATCATGGCTTAACTCAAAGACCCCAACCCGATGTTACACTATCAGAGCAAGACCCTCTACATTAACAAAAAAGCCAACAACACAAAACTCTGAAAATATCCTCGACCGCGTCCACGACTAAACCTGGTCATCTGGACGTTACCCACGTGGAAGCAGCATTCAAACAGGCAGCATGAGTAAAACGATTCATAATAATCAATGTAGGAAATAACATATAAAATGGCGTCATTTTCATATTCAACATCATCATATTCATCAAGGAACATCAAAGGCCACAACATCATAATTTACTCAAGATCATCTCAGAAATGCAAATACAACAAGACTCATGCATGTGGTATCAATCATCACAGCTCGATGGACACTGGACCATCAATCCTCCATAGATCCCCATCAATAGGATCGATTCTACTCGTGAACCGGAGCACATCAATATACCTCACATCCGAACAATGGGATTGAAGCCAAAGTAATCAAGGTCTTGAACTGAAGTTCGGATGCACATGAATGCATGATGCACACGTCAATAGTCATCCTCATAATAACATCATAGGTGCATCATCATTCATCATAATCATCATCATCAAAAATAATGTCATCATAGAATCATCAAAACTCATGGAATATCAACATAATTCATCAATCATTACATCATAGGAATCATCATATAATCATGTACAAATCACATAGGATTCACAGTCATTCTCATATTAATTCGTCAAAGAAATCACAACATCAAAACATCAAGGCATCGCTGCAAAAAATCAGAATTCGCGAAACTATGCTACCTTCGCTAGCAAGTTTGATGTGCGACTCTGGGACGAGTTCGTTCGCTGTGCGAAGGATTCTTTACTGTGTGAACAACGCGATGACAACAAAACGCTGTTACGCACCAGAACCTAAAATCAGCCCAAAAGCCCCACGATTCACTTCCCCAATGCTCCCAAAACATCCCTAAGGTCTTACGGATATAAAGGCACAAAACTTACGGTTTATTAGGCCAATCTCGTATCATATTCACGCTCTAAATCCCATAAACCCTTACCACTACACCACAATCATCAGAGTTTTTCACTATCAAATTTCCCTACAGGGTTAGACAAATGTCAACTCAGAGCTCTGGCCACGAAGGCCTAATTTCCCTTTTACCCAAATAAATCCCTACGGTTAAAATCTCAATAATAGATTTAGGCCACGAAGGTCAAATTCCATTTATCTCAAAATCAGCCTCAAACCCTTTGAATCCTTAAATCGACTTTAAATACATTGAAATTATACATTGAAAATAATGAAGGAAATACTCCTCATACCTTAATCGTCGACTCTAAGCCTTCTCAAATCTTTCAGAAAATCTTTCGAAGCTTTTGCCTCAAATCTCCTCCTCAGAGCTCTGGCCTCAATTCTTTTCACGGTCTAACAAAATGAATCTTAATCCCATCACAATTTCCTTTTTGTTAAACCTAGCCTTGGGCCTCAAAATTGGGCTTTCCAATATTACCCTCACTAACTCCTCCTCAATTGTCCAATTTGCCCTTAGTTAACTTATATTTATTTAAATTAATAATAATACTAATATATTCATATTATATACTATTAATTAAATAAATAACTCAAAATGCATAATTCTCAATATTCCACAACAACCATAAAAAATTACCAAAATGTGAATATTCTTATTTAAATAAATTAAACAAATATTCTAATGAAATTTGGAGTGTTATAACTCTCCCCCACTTAAAAGAATTTTCGCCCTCGAAAATTACCTCAAGAAAACAGAGTCGGATACGACTCCCTCATCTGCTATTCACGCTCCCAACTCCAATTTTCTCCAGCTAGTCCTTCCCAAACTACATTCACTAAGACAATCTCTTTACCTCGTAGATGCTTCACTTCTCGTTCATCAATCTGAACTGGAAACGCCTCAACAGTCAAGTCATCTCTCACTTGTACATCATCCATCTGAATCACATGCGACGGATCTGGAATGTACTTCCTCAACTGAGCCACATGAAACACATCATTCAAATTCGCAAGCGACGGTGACAAAGCAATCCGATATGCTACTTCCCCCACCCTTTGCGAAATATGATACCGACCAACAAAATGTGATGTGAGATTTCGAGACTTCAAAGTTCGGCCAACACCAGTTACCGACATAACTCTCAAAAACACGTGATCTCCCTCTTGGAATTCAAGTGCTTTCCTCCTCTTATCATGGTAACTTTTCTGACGAATCTGCGACACTTTCATCTTTTCTTGGATCATCTTGATATTTTCAGTCGTCTCTTGCACAATCTCAGGTTCGAGTACAACACTCTCGCCTGACTCATACCAACACAAAGGAGTCCTACACCTCCTACCATACAAAGCCTCATACGGTGTCATTCTGATACTAGAATGATAAT